TGAGGTAAGGATGAGTCAATGACTGAGGTAAGGATGAGTCAATGACTGAGGTAAGGATGAGTCAATGACTGAGGTAAGGATGAGTCAATAACTGAGGTAAAGATGAGTCTATGACTGAGATAAGGATGAGTCTATGACTGAGGTAAGGATGAGTCAATGACTGAGGTAAGGATGAGTCAATGACTGAGGTAAGGATGAGTCAATGACTGAGGTAAGGATGAGTCAATGACTGAGATAAGGATGAGTCTAATGACTGAGGTAAGGATGAGTCTATGACTGAGATAAGGATGAGTCAATGACTGAGGTAAAGATGAGTCAATGACTGAGATAAGGATGAGTCAATGACTGAGGTAAGGATGAGTCAATGACTGAGGTAAGATTGATGAGTCAATGACTGAGGTAAGGATGAGTCTATGACTGAGGTAAGGATGAGTCAATGACTGATGTAATGATGAGTCAATAACTGAGGTAAGGATGAGTCTATGACTGAGGTAAGGATGAGTCAATGACTGAGGTAAGGATGAGTCAATAACTGAGGTAAGGATGAGTCAATGACTGAGGTAAGGATGAGTCAATGACTGAGGTAAGGATGAGTCAATGACTGAGGTAAGGATGAGTCAATGACTGAGGTAAGGATGAGTCTATGACTGAGGTAAGGATGAGTCTATGACTGAGGTAAGGATGAGTCAATGACTGAGGTAAGGATGAGTCAATGACTGAGGTAAGGATGAGTCAATGACTGAGGTAATGATGAGTCTATGACTGAGGTAAGGATGAGTCTATGACTGAGGTAAGGATGAGTTGTTGTCTGAGGTAAAGATGAGTCTATGACTGAGGTAAGGATGAGTCAATGACTGAGGTAAGGATGAGTCTATGACTGAGGTAAGGATGACTTGTTGTCTGAGGTAAAGATGAGTCTATGACTGAGATAAGGATGAGTCTATGACTGAGGTAAGGATGAGTCAATAACTGAGGTAAGGATGAGTCAATGACTGAGGTAAGGATGAGTCAATAACTGAGGTAATGATGTTGTAAACAGAAATTCATCAAAAGTGACACCTCAGAAAAGCTAAAATATTGAATTTTTGGAACTTTTGATAGAGCACGTTTTTAAATATTAATTAAAGTAAATGTATATTTTGTAAAGATTCTTTTTAATAAAAAAATAAAATTTTGAAGAAGAACACAAAATCTTCTGAAAATAATATCACATAAACTCATATTATTTTCTAATATATAACTATTTTATATAAAAATCAAATTCAATGATCTTAAAAGCGAAGGATAAACCTCAAAATTTACGAATATAATGAGTGGGAATATAATGCTTATCTATCATAAAACCATATGAAATATCAATTTTTGCTTTACGCCTAATTTTTGACGACAATTAGCAAAAATGTTAAATGTTAACACTCAGTCCAATTTGAATATGAAAAATAAAATTGACTTTGATTAAATGTTTTTATTTATCATGCAATTCTTCTTGCGACCAAAATTTGAATAAAAGTTCAAAAAATAAGATAGCTTAAAATAATGTACGGTAGTGTTTACTAATAGATGAATAGTATATAAATTCTATTAAAATGGATTTGATCCAAAAAATATATAAAATTTGATCATAAATAAAATCGTTTTAAATTACTTCTTCATTTAAATTATAACAATTATTTTTTTGGTTTTATATTTTTTGGATCAAATCCATTTTAATAGAATTTATATACTATTATCTATTAGTAAACACTACCGTATATTATTTTTTAAGCTATCTTATTTTTTGAAGTTTTATTCAAATCTTTGGTCGCAAGAAGAATTGCATGATAAATAAAAACATTTAATCAAAGTCAATTTTATTTTTCATATTCAAATGGACTGAGTGTTAACATTTAACATTTTTGCTAATTGTCGTCCAAAAATTAGGCGTAAAGCAAAAATTGATATTTCATATGGTTTTATGATAGATAAGCATTATATTCCCACTCATTATATTCGTAAATTTTGAGGTTTATCCTTCGCTTTTAAGATCATTGAATTTGATTTTTATATAAAATAGTTATATATTAGAAAATAATATGAGTTTATGTGATATTATTTTTCAGAAGATTTCATTCTATATGCCTATGAAAAGTACTCTCAAAACTAACTTTTTCCTAATTATAATTAAATCTAGAATATTGTATTATGCTTAGTATTATTTCATTTTTCTCATTCAATTTAGAATTTACAAATGTCAAAAAATCGAGAGCTGTCACTTTTGATGAATTTCTGTTTATTACAATGATGAGTCTATGACTGAGGTAAGGATGAGTCAATGACTGAGGTAAGGATGAGTCAATAACTGAGATAAGGATGAGTCTATGACTGAGGTAAGGATAAGTCAATGACTGAGATAAGGATGAGTCAGTGACTGATATAATGATGAGTCAATGACTGAGGTAAGGATGAGTCAATGACTGAGGTAAGGATGAGTCAATGACTGAGGTAAGGATGAGTCTATGACTGAGGTAAGGATGAGTCTATGACTGAGGTAAGGATGAGTCAATGACTTAGGTAAGGATCATTCCATTCCAAATATATCACAACACCTACACCTTACAACCACAAAATCATCTCCAAATTTCTTTTCAGAACTTCTTTTAAATGAGCATTTTTCAATCAACAAACATCCCTTCTTTTGCCCGCACAAAAGGTTTCAGATGTTATCTTGTTCCAGAAACTCATGAAACAAAGTTCTAAATGAAAATCCACGGAATGAGCTTGTTCAATAGCATTATCAATAAAAAGAAATCTATGGTATCGCCCGCACAATACCAAAAGATTCCATTTTGTAATGAATGATTACTATGATCCAAGGATGGTTCCGTAGACTTGAAAATTTTAAATTGGAGGTTTAATTCAAATTTGGCGGGCTTTTGGTCGTAGATTAATTTAACTAATATGAATTTGGATTGTGCTTTCCTTATTGATGTAATGATATTTTCACTAATAAAAAATGAAATATACACAAGAAAAAATTATTCAAAAATTATCATTGCATTTTATTTGAAGAAATTTTGAAAACAACATCATACACATACTATAAATGAATATTATCATCTTAATTTTAATAAATTTCATTTACTTGGAAAGATGCAAGATCATCTTGTACTCTCTTCGATTTTCCATGTAACTTCGCAGGTAATAATGGCGCACTTACCTCTATTTTGGATTTTTATAGTTTCCCTCAAAACACATTCTATGAACTTACGCTCGTATCGCGTTAAAAAATGTCGTTAAAATTGAACCGCGCCTATTAATTTAAATTATTCTAATAATTGTTCAGTAGTCTCAATTTGGAAATTCTAAAGTTTCAATAACGATATGTAATTGAGTAGGGGTAATTTTAGCTAAAAGTGACACACCCGTGAAGGGTGTGATTACCGATCGGTAATTTCGACAGTTTAGAATTTAAAATTTTTTATGGAACTGTTGCGAGTTTCATAAAGAATTTAAGGAATATAAGCAAAGATTTGAATCAAAATCTTAGACCTAAGCCGCTCGATTCGCTCGCGGCTTCCGCGAATTACAGATCAGCAAAGATTTGAATCAAAATCTTCGAACTAAGCCGATCGCTTCGCTCGCGGCTTTCTTTATTATTTTAAATTTGCATATTTCCATCAAAAGTTCATAAGGTAAAAAATTTCGTTTATTTTTACTAAGAAAAAAAAGGTTTTTGATAATAAATTTATTTTATTTCGAAAAAGTAGCAATAATCGTAAAAGGGTATTGATAGGCTTGCTAAAGTAACTAATTTTAGCTGTCAAATACTTTTGTATTTTGAAGTAAATTAGTATAAATTTGTTTTTACTTTTATTTCGAAAAAGTAGCAATAATCGTAAAAGGGTATTGCTAGGCTTGCTAAAGTAACTAATTTTAGCTGTCAAATACTTTTGTATTTTGAAGTAAATTAGTATAAATTTGATATTATTTTAACTCCCTTTGAAAACCTCAATTTTCCATACAGAGGGAACGAGAATAGCATCCAATATTCCCTGAGAATGGTTGCGCATTCTCAGTTCCCTCTATATTTCGAACGAAGCTCTCATCGGTCTTTTTTTTAATACTAAACGTTTTTTTTTCCCTGTCACTTTTAGCTAAAATTTGGGTTTGCCTATGTAATTTCCATTTTCCCAATTTGTAGATAGATTCTAATAGTACATATTAATGCAATTTTGATGTCCAATTTAATTAGTATTCAATTAAATTCGTATTCAATTTATTAAAAATATTTTTAATTCATATAACGATTGATATTATTTAAACATTTTTCAAAAATTATTAGATATATAGACTTTTCAATTCTGTGAAAAAAAATTGGGTTAATCATTGAAAGATAAGAAATAATTAAAAGAAGCATGAACATTTCATTCAACAGATTTCCCTAATTCCATTACCTGTTTTTTAAAAAAAGTGACAGATAACATGGCTAGGAATCGGAAAGAAGCTTCAATAATTCCCCCCACTGTTTAACTTTGGAGCTATCTTCTCTGATAATATCATCGATACCGAGCTCGAAAGTAAAAATCCCGCTGATATATCTAATGATTTATTTACTATTGTAAGTTCAACAGACCAAAACGTATCTGGTGCAATATTACTATCACTATGTGACCTCCATTTTCCAAGACGCCAAAGCAAATGAACATTGATGGCTTCATTCCAAGCGGTTCTAGCTTTGACAATTGCTGCAATTGCTGGAAATCTCTCGAATTCGTACAATGAGCCACATGATTTCTATCAAATGACTCATCAATGCTCAATAAATTTTTTGAAACATTAATTCAGCGTTATCCAGTAGTTTCAATAGCAATTTTCTCCAGATCCGACTTCGCCAGTACCACCAACATCATCGATATTGCTACACATGTTTTTGGAAAGCTTGTTAGGAATAAAGTGAATTGATGAATATATTTGCTAGCATTAAACTTAGTAAACTAAAATACGTCAACACGAACATTATGTTAATTGATAGGTTCTTTGATTCGTCCATCAGCGCGTACTGGATAGTTATAAACGTCATTCAATGAATAAAAGATTTGTCCAACGGATCTCCAAAACGCGAGTGCATCGTTGAGCCTAGATTGTTGGAGAAGTTTTTCTGATGGACCAACACCAAGCATGTTTCCGCAATCAACAACTGCAACTGGTGCAGGTAAGTTGCTATTTAAATCTTCCCACTCTTCTTCAGTGGTAACACCATATTGGAAGTGTGGCATACGTATTCCACCAGTAACATAGATCTCAAGACCTGATGGGAAGTAATCAACGAAAGTTAAAAATTCAAGATTTCCTCCATAAGGCCAACCAAACTTGTTAACTTCGTTTGTCATCTTTATTTGGCACTTGAGATCTTTAAGGCGCTCATTGTATGAATCTGTATGATTAACTTGACGATTTATATTAGCCCAAACATAATTAACCGCTTTTTTAGGAATTTCAACAGTGATTCGTTCACCTGGTGGTACATATATTGCTGTCCAATGGTATTCTTTAACTCTTGTATTTAAAACAACTTTGAATTTATATCTTTGTGTGACTTGTATCTTTTGCTCATCACCGTTGAATTGCTTGATACCTGCAGGATGATAAAATAGGTCATCTTGAGTCATAGTTGGAGTTGCTTTGCAAAAATTATCATAAATTTGCCTAGATTGTGAATCAAGAACATCAACGTTGGCTTTGTTTGGATGTCCAGGCCACGGATAGTCGTCATCTGGAATTTCTTATGTTAAATAAGCTTCCCTAATATGACGGACATACGGGCGAGGAATTTCAAATAAAGGAACAATAGAATCGACGTTTTGTGCCTTAACGGTTGTGGTTCCATGAGATTGGAAAATTGATTTTGTAAAGGCGCGTGTATGAGAAAGAAAGAATAAAAACATTCAAAAAATAAATACTTTACATAACTTTATTTTTATCAAATCAGACTATTAATTCTTCATATTTTGAAGATTTACTTTTCCTATGTAAATTGATTACAAAATTACTCTCACAAAAAATTCAATAGTGTCAAATCCTCAAGAATCATCTTTTCATTTTATTGTCATATCCATTCTAATAAGAACAATATTTGATTGTAACAAAAAATTGAATTTTTAAGGTTATTAGATTTTTCCTTATTTTGCAATCATCAATAACTTTTGAGACGATAATGCCTTTATTTTAATAAGCTATGCATTGCATTCTAATATAATCACTAGGTTTTATTTTCTGATTATTCTCCCAAGACTGATTTGTCCTTATTGATGTAACGGATTCTATTTTTTTTTGTCATGTAAATTACTCCTAAATTCCTAAACGTACAATAAATATGAAATCAACTACCCCAACAAAATCAAAGCCAAAAACACTGGAAAATCCACAGCAACTCCAAGAAGAATTCAACAAGCGTGCAATTAATCTCTTTTATTCAATGTATACTACACCTTCTGTCGATGAACTTATGAATTTTCCACCTGTACAAGAGCAACCACCAACAGAAGGTGCTAAACTCAAAGCCAAAATAGAATTTCATTCTGGTGTCTGTGATTATAAGCTTCGTCGTAAAGTTCAAAACTCAGTTTATCAATCAAATAGCGTTCTTGTTCAATTAGGAGAAACGGTAGAAAGACAGCCTGATATAAAGAATACACAAATAATTAATGCTGAAGAGATTTTTGCTCCGGAAAAGGCTCAACGTTCTGAAAAGCCACTTTATCTTCAAAACCAAGAAGAAGACGAGCAAAACTATGAAAAAAGCATACACATTTCACATAAGCCTCTTAATATTCCTGCAATTGAAAAAGAATATAAACAGCGTCTGAAAAAATCTGAGGAGACTGGAAAGGCGAGATGCATGAGAAGATATAGATTCATCAAAAAGACCGAAAAAGAGCATAGAGATTTCGTCAGCTCGTTATCAAAACCAAGATCAAAAGCTCAATAATCAAATAATTTTGTTTATATAAAACTTACTCATCGTGTAGTTCTATTTAATGAATTTTTATGTGAAATAATGAAATTTCTTTTGAAAACTTTAAATTTTTATTCAAATTATACAAAACAATTAAGAAATTAAGCTTATTTAGGGAGAGAATCAAAAATTGCAGGGAGGTCGAGAGCCAATGTTGTAGCAACTGAAGCATCTTCCATGCTAATACCCTTTTCAACTAATTCGTAAGGAATAGACCAGTAACTGCATGAATTATTCAACTCGTGAGTAATAACTGGCATTAAGTAGTCCGAAAGTCTCCAATACGGTTGTGTTGTTTCCATGAATTTTGTTTTGACGGCGAAAGACTTCTTATCTATCAGGTATAGCCTTGTTTCTGTTAATCCATATTCATCTTCAAGAGAAATTGAAAGGTTTTGGCCCTTTGTCTCTGAAACAATTGCATAATAATAATCTGAAACGTAAGGAGGCTTTTTACGAGCTCGTAAGTAGTTCTCTTCTGTGCATATATGTTGATTACATGGTTTCCATGTGTTTATGTCTGAATAAACTCCACATAATTGACGATCTTCTTCAAGAGAGATTCTTCCGCGTAAATAATTGAGAGTATGGCCATATCCTGATCCATTAAGTGACTTTACAATGAAGCCACCCTTTGAAAGTTGTAATGATTTGAATTGATGAGGATATCCTGACGTAATTAAGTCGTTGTTGAATCCAATCAAGTTAAAAGTCATTGAATTACCCGTTCTTGCATAAGCTGGAGGTGCTGGGACAAAGAATGATCCACCTTCCAAATATGTCGAAGTAGAAATGACTCCACAGTTCTGATCTGTATTGTATGGACAGTATGTATCTTTGTTCTTGCATTCTTTGCTCTCTTTGACCCTCTTATCCGTGCATGGAACGTAATAATCAGCGAAAAATTCAGGAATTGAGAGGAGAAGTGGTCTCTTCTTCTTGAGAAGTAGTTTCTTGATGTCATCGACACTCCTTGCAAATGTTGGTTCCTTTAATCTGAAGTTGAGGTGATTTTTATTGGAGCAATCAACCATATTTTGGCATTCTTTAGAACTGGCAATGCTAAGATTCAAATTCGGGAGATTTTTGAAATAGTTTACGACAGTTGAAGCTTGTAATTCGCGATTGCAAGTCTTAGAATTGGATTCATTCATGCAATCTTCAATGATTGTATTATTGAAGAGTAGTTCTGATAGTTCAGCTGATACTTTTGATTTCATGATGCCTTTATATTGTAATTGGAATGAAAGGAAAGATTCTAAGTGGTTTATGATTGCAGTTGCAGCATGAAATGGATAATAAATACTATCCTTTACAGAAGTGAGGAAAGAATCATCAACAACGTAGCGTGTAGGTATAACTGGAAGATAAAGTTCGCTTTCATCCTTTATGAAGCGATGTTGCAAGCTCATCATAATAGATATGAATGAAATAAGAGCTACAGATAAAAGAATACTGAGAGAGATAAACTGAAATGATGATTCTTGTCTATTCATTGTTTTTCTGTCAAATTTGACAAATTTTGAAAAATGCTGGCAAATCAGCTCAAATAATGAATATGTGTTCAAATTTTTGGGTATTGTATGCTCTACACAGCATATTCGAGCTATTGTAAACTTTATGCATCCTTATATCTTTTTTAATATTGAAATCATCCAAAATCCATTGAAATAAACTTTATTTATCATAGCCTATGAAAGTAATAGAAGAAATTCGCTTTAGTAACTTGAATTGTTTATTGATTAAATCCATTTTTGCATAATTTTAAGTGATATTGAGAAAATTAAGAGAACATGATGTGAATTTGAATGATATGTAGCAAGATTTTGTCTTATCTTTGAGGTTCATGCCAGAATGTCATTTAAACATGTAAATATAATGCCTTCTTTTGGAAGATAAATTCATATTATTAATTTGAAAAAGAGTTACTTTGAAAATTAAAAGAAAAATATAAATTATACATAAAATTATTTCATATGGCAGATTAATTAAAATCAGAAATTTCCAAATTTTTCTCAAATTTTAAATTTTAATATTAAAATTCAAATAATTTATAATTATTTTTATATTTTTCTAATTTTTTTGGAAATTTCAGACCCCTTAGATATACCATACTCCCGGTATAAGTGAAAATCATTAGCTTAATTGATGAATTTTATTAAATTACAATATATCATTTATCAAAATATTCATAGCTAAGGATTAATATAGTTTCCAACCGATACACAATGAAAATTAACAAAGAATATATTTACTTTAATCCTGAATAATTCATTGTTTTTCTAATTTTCAAATCAAAATTAGTAAAAATTAATAGATTTGTTGGCTTATTAGTATATGGTTTGAATTAATTTTAACAGAAATCTATATAACAAACAAGGATAGTTTACAAACAAGTAATAAAAAAAAAATAATATAAGTATTAGTTAGAGTCGGATTCAAAAAAGAAATTCCGAGCTCCACTAGCAGCAGTAATAGATTTTCCTGACCTAAACGTTGCAGTTGATGCGGTGTAAGTTGATGTTGTTGTTGTAGTTGAATTTGTGTATGAAGTTGTAGAAACGGTGCTATTTGTCGTTTCATATGTATTTTCGTAGTCTCCTGTTGATCCAATATCATCTATATCTGAATCAGATGAATCAGGCAAGAAAGTCTTTAGAGCAGCAGTTGCAATTGGTGGGTTTTTGATTATAATAGGTGGTTTATCTGACTGTGCAAGCGAATTTGAAATGATTGACTCAAAATCAAAATCACTGCTATCAGACTCTATAAAATATTGATTTTTAGGCTCTTCATCCCTTGCAACTTCATTTGATCTGCTAATAATATCAAGCTCTACATCCGATTCTGATACAAATTCATCTGACTCAGATATAAAAAAATTTTGATCGACATTTGAGAGATTTTCTTCTTCATTTATCAGTATATCGTCATAAGAATCACTCTCTGATAGAAATGACGTGGCTACCGCTTGTTGCCCACTCCCGTAATCGGGCGGCATCACCATCGCCATGAGTGAATCATTTTCCTTCCTCTCTAGGACGATAGAAAATTGTAAACCGACACAACTTTAATTCTCGAAATGGAAGTCATGTTAAATATTCCAATAGCAAATTGAACACCATTCTGTTGTAAACAGAAATTCATCAAAAGTGACACCTCAGAAAAGCTAAAATATTGAATTTTTGGAACTTTTGATAGAGCACGTTTTTAAATATTAATTAAAGTAAATGTATATTTTGTAAAGATTCTTTTTAATAAAAAATAAAATTTTGAAGAAGAACACAAAATCTTCTGAAAAATAATATCACATAAACTCATATTATTTTCTAATATATAACTATTTTATATAAAAATCAAATTCAATGATCTTAAAAGCGAAGGATAAACCTCAAAATTTACGAATATAATGAGTGGGAATATAATGCTTATCTATCATAAAACCATATGAAATATCAATTTTTGCTTTACGCCTAATTTTTGACGACAATTAGCAAAAATGTTAAATGTTAACACTCAGTCCATTTGAATATAAAAATAAAATTGACTTTGATTAAATGTTTTTATTTATCATGCAATTCTTCTTGCGACCAAAGATTTGAATAAAACTTCAAAAAATAAGATAGCTTAAAATAATATACGGTAGTGTTTACTAATAGATGAATAGTATATAAATTCTATTAAAATGGATTTGATCCAAAAAAATATAAAAACCAAAAATAATTGTTATAATTTAAATGAAGAAGTAATTTTAAAACGATTTTATTTATGATCAAATTTTATATATTTTTTTTGGATCAAAATCCATTTTAATAGAATTATATACTATTCATCTATTAGTAAACACTACCGTATATTATTTTTTAAGCTATCTTATTTTTTGAAGTTTTATTCAAATCTTTGGTCGCAAGAAGAATTGCATGATAAATAAAAACATTTAATCAAAGTCAATTTTATTTTTCATATTCAAATGGACTGAGTGTTAACATTTAACATTTTTTGCTAATTGTCGTCAAAAATTAGGCGTAAAGCAAAAATTGATATTTCATATGGTTTTATGATAGATAAGCATTTATTCCCACTCATTATATTCGTAAATTTTGAGGTTATATCCTTCGCTTTTAAGATCATTGAATTTGATTTTTATATAAAATAGTTATATATTAGAAAATAATATGAGTTTATGTGATATTATTTTTCAGAAGATTTCATTCTATATGCCTATGAAAAGTACTCTCAAAACTAACTTTTTCCTAATTATAATTAAATCTAGAATATTGTATTATGCTTAGTATTATTTCATTTTTCTCATTCAATTTAGAATTTACAAATGTCAAAAAATTGAGAGCTGTTACTTTTGATGAATTTCTGTTTATTACAATTCTCCAATGATTGTCTTACCCAAATGTTTTCAAATCAAGAATTAATCTCAGAGACATAAATGTGCTAAACGATTGGCGCAAACATCCATAGCAATAAACTGCTCAACGTATTCAATTGAGAAACAGTCAAGCATTCTGATTTTAAATTCAATAATTTTGAGATAAATTCAAAACTAGATAATATTGATGCATAAACCTAAATAATTCATATGAATGCACATCATATTGCATATCACTTCATCTTGTCTTTCCATTTCATTAGTTAATTCAGATTGAATATGGGATGTTCTAGAAATTATGAGCATCTCCATTTTAATTCTAAAAAGATGGTAATGCAGCTGAAATTTAACCATTTCTTAATTCGGCGCTTTTAGGATTTGTAGCACTCTATATGTGTATGTAAATAGAATTTATATATCTCATCCCAATATGGAGATGCTCACAGGTTCTGTGACACCCTATATATATATCCTCAATTCTGAAATATTGTAACTCTCAAAACTGGATGTTGTTCAAAAACAACCACCTAAAATGAGTCCTGGAAGCAGTGATTCTATTAATAGATGAGACACACATAGTACTATTATTCGCATATGTTTTGAAACAATGATTAATATATTTAAGTAAATAAAAATCAACATTTTTTTAAATGATATTTTTATCAAAAAATATAAATAAATCAAAGAAATATAAAAAATAAAACATACATTTTGTTCATATACGATAAAATATATAATCAAAAATAAACAATTCAAACAATAAAAAAAGGGGAATTACATGTTACTTCTATCTTGTAATTTGCTGACTCCATCAAAATAAACATCCAAAGCATTTGGCTTTGTAGGATTAGGTTTATTTGCCTCACTTTGTTGTGAACCTTGTATTGGTATTTGTGCAGGCAATATAACAGTAGGAGCCGTTTTTACAATAACAGGTGAAGTGATCGTGGTCTGAGGATTATTTTGGGGGACAAACTTTTGTATTTGAGGTTGCCACTGTTGAGTTTGTTGTTGTTTTTGAGAAATCATTTGTTGAATCAATTGTGGCTGCAACAAATTAGTTGTTTGTGTTGTTGGCTGTGGCGGATGAATTATTTGTGGTGTTTGAGGTGTTGTTATCGGTTGAGAAACAGGAATTTGTTGTTGTTGATTTTGTTGAGGATTTTGTTGTTGTTGTTGGAATTGATGAATCTTTTGTTGTTCAATTATCTTATCAATGTTTGATTTCCGACCTCTCTTTGCCTTCTTGTCTGTTATTTGTTGTATCAACAATGCGTGTTTTTCTTTTTCTTGTTCCAAGTTTTCTGGGGAATGCAAAATTTGTGGTGGCATCGAAATTGGCCTTGTTTGAATCATCTGAGGAGTTTGTGGCTTCATTAACTGTGCAGGAGGATAAATTATATTCTGAGGAGGAGTAACAACAATAGCAATTGGTTGTTGTGGTTGTGGCTGTCCATATAATGCAATTTGTGGCTGTGCAGAAATTTGTCTTAAAATTTGTTGTTGTTGCTGTCGAATTTGATCTCTTTGTTCTTTCTTCGCTTGAGAAATGATTGATCCTCTATGAGACAAAGCTGTTTGTATTGTTGATTGATTGTACTTGTAACTTGTCATCAAGTTCTGTACAATTTCATTTGGAAACGCTTTTGAATTTATCACGAAAACAAAGGCGTCATCAACAATTTCTTTTGGAATATGGAATTCTAACATCGCTTGATACAAAACATTTGGAGGAACTTTATATGTATTAATTAATTGTAACAAAGAATTAGAAGATATCTTTTCTTCTCTTATGATTTGTAACAAATATTCTGGTGGTAAACTTTCATCTTTAACAGCATTAAATATTGAATTGTTTTGTACTTTGTTTTCTCTGACCATTTGAAGAAATTGATCGACATTTATTTCCTTGTTTTTAAGTAAATCTTCTGGACGTGGAGGTTTTTGAATTGATATGATCTGTGTTTGGCAATTTGGTGGTAATTGGCTTGTAGAAGTAATTACTTGTGTTGGAGCTCCTGGTTTTGTATTCAATGGCGTATGTGGATGTGATTCAGGAATAGGTAAAACAACAGCTTGTCTTTGAGGAGAAGGAGATGATTTCATCGCGGATTTTTTGATCTGTTTCTTAATGTTTTTCTCAAATTCTTCATCCAAAAGTGGGCTGATTTTAATTGCTAATGTTTGAACTAAAGTAGCAATTCTCTTTTCAGCCATTGTTTTATTTGTAGCTGCTTGTTTGAGTTCATTATATTCTTCAACAGTTATTAATTGTTCGGGACCATTATGTGATTTATTTATTTGAACTTCTGGGATGTTTTTCGCATTATCAATTCCGAATTGACAAGCGAATTTAAACAGTTGCAAATCATTATCTAATGTCCATTTATCAGGTAATGTTCTTATAAACAAATCCTGTTTTTCTGTCTGATTCATCAACATGTAACTTCTGATAACATGCATTGCCAAAATGTCTGATTTCCTGTTCTCTATTTCAGCTCCTGTTATTTCAATGATGTTGTCAGATTTTGTCAAAGAATCAGGTAAAACTAAACTCAAATCATGTACATGGAATTTCATGATTTGTTCTTGTAAACTGTTGACAAAAGAAACAGCTTCTTCAGGAGTTTTCCTTATCAATCTACACAAAGAAACAATTTCATCGCCATCAATTTTTTGTGAGTCTTTTGTATAAGGAATTCCATAACTTGTCAACATCTCTAAAACTTTGTTTACTTCACGTTCATCCCATGCTGTTGATTTCGGATTTGTTCTGAAGAGTTCAACAGCGAAATCAAGGGATTTGTTACCAGTAAATATCCTGTTTTCACTTGGATAATGCGTGGCAAATGAATAAACATCGTTTGCCATGGCTGTCCTTAATGATTCGTAACGCGCGGCAATGAAAGATGTCGTGTTTATCACTTGTGAAAGTTGTTCTAATGTTGGCATCGAACTTTTTTCTGAACAAAAACGAATGGGAAATGTATCCGTCGAAATTCCTTCGTAAGCGGCAATGACTAACCTGTCATTGGCAATTTGGCAAGTTTTGGCAAAACTTCTGAAAACTTTTGACTCGGCCAAATTTTTCGTAATTATATCGGCGAGTTCGTATTGGCCGTAGTTCTTGATCCAGACGTTCTCCCAGGCATCGCGGGTTATTGGGATCTCTGGGAGGTTGTGGAGATTGGAAATATAACCTGCGAGTAATAAAACGTCGTAAGAATTGCATTCTGATAACATTAAAAGGAAAATGATCTTCAAATAGTGAAGAGCAACATCTGGATCTAATCCTACAGCCTTTGAGACCTTGCCCATCTCGAAAATTCCATATTTGCAGACATTATCTATCAAATTTCTGCAAGTTTTGATATTTCTGTTCGAACTTGTAGGAATTGAATCGGATGGTTTGAAATCGTTCTTCCAGAACTCTGTTTCCGGTGCCAAACCTTCAATTGGGTCTTCATTAAATTCTTTGAAGATTTGGTCCATCATATCTGGATAAACGACCTTGATAATCGTCTTTTCCGTGGACTTGGCAAGCGACCAGTTCGATGTCGTGGCCACTCCGTACCTCAAAATTTCTTCTGCATCTTCTTTCGGTAAATCCGGCATAATTAGCTCGTCTGTGTTCAGAATGTAACCGAACATTGCGGATTCTGCAGTTTCTGCGGTAATTAACCGCTTAACGGTCACATTCTTTTGACGAACAAAGAATTCTTGAATGTGGAGGTCAGTTTGGAAGTCCTCATCGAGGTCTAAGAAGACAAGAGTTGATATGTTGAGGCGATCTATAATTGGCGAATTGATATTTCGGGTCAATAATAATGCACCTGCTTTGAAATCAGTTGAATACGATTCCTCGGGCAGTGGTGAGTGCATGAATGAGGTTGGGATATTTTTATAGGTCAGATATTGCATAAGAAGACGTAAAATTGCAAATCCGTTTGCAAATATGCAACAAACTGTGTTATTTTGAGCGCATTCAGCTGCAATGGCTGCAACTTCCTTGAATTTGTTCGATGATTCGGCCATGAGCTTAATCATTTCGTCTTCTGTTAAATCTCTTCCCATTTTAATGATTTTCTTACGAACAATGATATCTTTGAGCTCGGGAACAAGGAAAGGATGTGAATAGGCTGTTTGCAGGAACATACATTGTACTTGATACTGATCATATAAACTCATATCGTAATTCTTCAAATTTTTATGGAGAAGTTCAGCAATACTATCACCAATAACATCAGGGACGAGGATGAGCTCTTCATGAGCCTTGAAAACTGGTCCAGAAAACGTATGAATATTACAATTTTGTTGATTGATGCTGAAATCGTCATCTTCTGAGTTAAAGAGGTATATCTTATGACCAGGAAGTCTTGTAACCCAAACAGGAATCTTAAATGCCGATGTTGTCTGATCACCGACGATAAATCCCCATTTTACCTTAGAAAAGTAGTTCATACCACGCTGTAATATATCATGAGTTACTATAAGTACGTCGCACTTGCAGCCGACTTTTCCAACGAATTCTTCTTGCGTAATTGTAGATCTCGCGGTTTTACTTTCAGGAAATTCACACCAATAAAGGTTCGTAGCGAATCGTATTGTTTCTACCCATGAATAAGGGTCGTCACATATAATAAGCGCTGGGTGGTTGCTGCTGTACTTAAATGCGGCTGTATTTAATAATGCGGCAACACTCATTGTTTTTCCAACTCCTTGAGGAATTCTGACAACTGCGGCCTTGTCCTCATGTAATGATTGAACAATGAAGTCGAAGATTTCGAGCTGTAAATCTGTTAATTTAATATTATGTAGAAAATCGATTGGTTGGATTTTTTCGGGGAATTTATCGAACGGTATGTCTTTTTCAGACTTTTTCGTCTTTCTCCAGTAGATTTCTAATAATCTTGGAAATTCGGAAGCATTTGGAGCGCAAAATAGGGAAGTAGCTTTACCATTGATGGATTCAACTGTTTCCCAGCTTGCTGCGTCCTCATCGAGTCCATTCCACTTTACATAATAAATAGTAGTTTTTTCTGTATTTTCTGATGAATCTTCCTCTTCAGTTTCATCAGGCTCGATCGAATAGACTGTAGGATTTGATGATAATCGATGAGTTATAATACGATCAACAAATAAAGGCGGAACTGATATAGGGGCTTGCATAGGCTCTAAAAACTTAGGTGACAAATTAGAAACCATGAGTCCGAAGTTTGCCGATTCGTTAAATTCTTTTAGCATTTTTTGATTTTCTTTTTTGCGATTCAATTCCTTGGAATTTGTGGTAACAGATCTTATGACCGAACTATCCTCTAAATTTAGAAGATATTCTGGATCATCAAGATTTGCAGTAACAGCAAAAATATCTTGAACTGAATAATTATCGACGTGGAAAGAATCACTGTCTTCGTTATCACTCGAAGAATTCGACTGACTTGAACTTGATGAGCTTTTAGAGCTTGAAGAGTTACTACTTCCTGAATCAGATTTTGATGAACTGCTTTCTTGATTCCTTTTCCTTTTAGCAGGGCTAACATTGCTTGAATCATCTGAACCATTAACTTCTTGAGCACTGGAATCATTGTATCCTGAACTATCAGTGCTTGAAGAAGCAGAATGACTCATTTTAGTTGATTCAAGCTTCTGGCGCCAATATCGTCACTTTTACAAAAAGTGACAAATTTACGTTAAATTTTACCAAAGATTTTAATGAATCCTCAGCAAATGTTGTCTCCTATAGGGAGATGGGAGGAGCAAAATAGAATCAGTAAGTTTTTCCATCCGACAAAACAAAATTTCGGCATAAATCGAAGGGCAGATGCGAACACCCCAATAGAAATCAATTTTGGACCAGTGCATTTACGATGGCAAGATGGATCTTGGACAAACTTAAATCTTCCAGAGCAGCCTTCGAATCCAAACCCAACACTACAGGAAATTTCTAAGATGCAAAGAGAAAATGCACAGTTACAAGTAGAATGTGAAATACTTCTTCATATGCTAACTGTTTCTGAAATGAAGAAAGTAAAATCACAAAATCGTCTCACTTCACTAAAGAATCAAATTGCTTCTATCCTTGAACAGATTGAGAAAGAAGAAGAAAACCAAGAATAACTCTCTTTCTATAATACTACTTAATCATATTTTTGTTTGTAATAAATATTTTTTTATATATGTTTGAAATATACTTCATGAATCATAAAACATAAATAAACATTTGAATGATCTCGGGTACCATTATTAATTTATGCAACTCTTAATCAAATGAAAAATCTGAAATGAAATATTATGGGAAAAAGCTCGTTGCTTTAACCTAGGATGCCTGAATGTTGGAATGCCTATTTTTAATCATATTGGGGAGAAGCTTCCTAAACTTTTTAATCCCATAAATATGGTCATTATCTGGAATAAAGAGTTAAGCGTCATATGTCACTTTTTGTACTAAGGAAACATCGACTTTATGCGTTATGACTTTTCGATGAGGAAACAAGTGTTCACGTATTATAAACTTCCTTATCCCAATAAACCGGCCCTAAACATAATTAATTTTAAGCATTATAATGGTCTCTTTTCTATGATAACCAAATCAATTTGGTTATCATAGAAAAGCACCAAAAACTGGAATAGGAATAGCCGCGTTAAAAAGGAATAGGCAATATGGAAACAAGGGTAGACTCAAACTCATACTCAAGGCAAGACTGATACAAGAATTACAACAAAATTTTACAAAATCTATTATTTATCTCAATTTAATGGCAGGTTTTAGTACCCGAAGAGTTTGCATTCTACTTTTTGCTCTTATTTTACAAAAATATTCTAAAAATTTGTAACTTCTTTTATAATATAATACTTTTTTTCAAATTTACTTTCCAAACGTTAATGTCTTGTTACGGCTATATCTTTGTACGGGGAAATAAAGAAATTTTATTATGCTATTATATTATTTTTTTTAAATCAATATCTAATCAATAGTAAGTTAGATTTTTTATTAAAAGAGCAAATAAAGATACGATCGAGCAATAGTTTATTTTAAATCTCAATATTATAAAATAAATGTTCAAAATTTTTAAGTAATAATACTAAATACTTAAATAAGTAAAAGCACACAAGAAAAATATTCACTAACTTAAGAAAAATCATATATTTAGAGAATTATCCCTTATAATAAGATTAAAAAAATTAAACTGTTTTCAATCTTCATCATCACCAGCTCCATAGAACTTGTGTTTGCGATAGATGACACATTTTGCAAGCCATTTGACACCACCAAGATATGACCACAAATCGCTGCCAACATCTCCACCTTGAAGACCTTTGATCAAACCATCAGGAACAATGTAAGTAATTTCATCGTCGAGCATGAACCAAACTCTTCCTTTGTTGACGAAGGCAACGAAATGACCTTGATGATAAGCAATAATGGAATGTATCTTAAATACATACGTTCCATCACTGAGTTGAGCTTTGTAGTTCTTCTTGATCTCAAATTTGTCAAAGAAGACATTTGGATCAGACCAATTCCTCTGAACGTCGACCCAGAGGAATGTTGAGATTTCATTGATATGAGAAAGTTAGTAAACATATCATGGGTACGGAGGCACTGCGCGCCTCCTTACCCATTATATGTGAATTTGACACTTTACAAAACCGTTAACGTATATTTTACAACACAAAACGATAACACTAACTTAACCTTAAATATTTACAAAGCCGCCAACCACTTCACCTCACTAATGTAAAAAATAAACGTTCTCACTTACAAAAGTATTGCAACTCCTCCCATTGCTGTGCTTCACACAACAGTTCATATTCTTCTGACTCACTTTCTTCTTCATATAGGTCAAAATCACTGTCAAAATAAATGTTAGTAAGTTTTGACAAAGCTAATGAAACACGTTTACCGTTTGTATCGTATGCTTGTATAAACTTTCCATTATGCTTGTAGTCATAAACGCTCAAACTAACTTTACCCTTTCTCCCTCGTATCTGATAGAATGTATTTTCACGAGGAACGAAGAACAAATTCTTGAACTCATGACCGTTGTAGTTTGTTATCTCAATAGTTTTCGTCATTTATATAAAAATAAAATAAAAAATAAAATAAAAAATAAACTTAAAAATTAATGATATCACCACCCTCACACGTATGAAAACATCCATTTAAATTTAGGGTAGAAGGGTAGATCTAACCTCATTTCTACCCTCATTTCTACCCTGTTGAATTCATTGCTTTATAACTCTTCTAACTTCTTCTTAAGTTCAGCAATGTTGTCCTCATGAAGTTTAATCTTTCTCAAAATTCCTTCTTTATCTAATGGTTGCTTTATCTTTCTAAACTGAACTCTACCATCCTTCATAGTATGAATGTAAAAACCTTCTGGAATAATTCCTGATTTAATGTATTCTACCAAAAACTTTTGTTTCATTGCTTCAGTGACTTTAGTCGTCATTTCAATCAAATAAAAATTATAATATTAAATAAAAATAACGTTATTTTTTTCAGTAAGGAAACGCAGGAGTTTTACGATTTATTTGAGGAGTAGGTTCTGGTTTAAATGTTGGAGTCGGTTTAGGAGTTGACTTTTGAACAGGAGTTTGTACTTCCATAGGTTCAGGAGTCATTGAAGGTTTTGCTTGTGAAGGCGTTGGTTTTGGCGAAGGTGTTGGAGTTTGTTTAACTTCAGCTACTTCAGTATTATTTACAACATTTGCTTTATTTCTTTTCAACATCATAACTGCTCCTGCTGTAGCTAGCAAACCTAGTGGGAGACCATATTTTATATAAGGACTTGACCAAATGCTATTTTTGACAGGAGCTGGTGGAACACCTAACCTTGGTGAGACTGCTCTTTGCCATTGTGCAGCTCGTAAGAAATATTCAATAGGTGCTCCATAATCGTTTGGTAAAGTTTGTTTCATAGATGGTGAAGGTTCACGAGAGCTTGATGAAGAACTCATTTATAAGCTTTAAAAATAAACGTTCATCCTTTATTCCTCACTGTCGTCAGTTGCTAAGTTATAGTCGTCAAGTCTTATTATTGGTATGCCTGACTGTCTTACTTGTATTGCAAAGCAACAATCCCTCATAAATCCAATAAGTGGCTTTGGTACATTTTCAGTTGCTAGTTCAATAGGTCCTTTAACAGACAATTTGTATGTTATTGGAGCAGTAGATGTTTGACCTTGCTGGAAGCAAAAGTCCACTTCTGTTGGAAAACCACATAAGAAATGTGTGTTGTCATAGCTATCCCATTTATGTTCCACACTACCATCATCCACCAATGACCTCATAACATCTTCATTAAATCCTATCATATCATTGTTTGTATTGCAAGCGTTCGCAACCATTTCATAAAATACAGGTCCATATGATTTTTCAGGTTCTGCAGGCATATTTCCATAAGCTCCCATGGAAAGCTGAAGATATTTAAACTTAGGGTTCTCAAAATTAACATAATAGTTGTCTTTCTTTCTAAATAGTGCCCAAATACTTTTAACATTAATAGGCGTATAAGCTGCTGTAAATGTTGCACTTGAACTATCTGTATTCTTTGAGAATGAACCGTCCATAGGAATCCAATCCATAACTTTAACAGGAAAACATAAAGCCTCGTTTGTATAATGTTCTACAAGTTCTGTATAAATGTTAGGGTCTAAAGAGAATGACTTTGGATGAATGAAACATTCATTAAAATCCATCTTTGTTCGAAATAGTTGCTGGGTTACAGTTGTAATAGTAACTGTTCCACTAGCTTCTACTGCCTTCGTTATCAAAGTGAATGGTTCATTCCATGGAACAAATTTATTTGTCGGTGGATTTGAATCTGAAGCAAATGCAACTTTAAGAGTTGGATTGAAAGCAATGATATCATTTACAGATATAGATGTGCATTGTAAGGCGTCGCTACTGAACTTTACTTTAAGCTGAATGTTTCCTGCAAAAGCTGGAATAAATCGAATAGCTTCTAATGGAAGGAATCTTCTAACAGGAATTCTTAAACGAAGCTTAAAATCAAATGATTTTCCTGCTGTAATTGGACCACTAACAATTTGTCCTGTTCTGCATGTTCCCGAATGACTCCATACATCTTCATGTCGAGTCTTTGAGAAAACATCTACTTTCTTTATTTGTTCGGTAGTTTGTGAGTTTGAAGTTATATATGCTTCTTCTCTTGCGTTGTCTTGAGAATATACGATACGACCATTTGCAAGGATTTGATATCCAGCAACTGCATAGAAAGCGTCATCGAAACCAATCCAAAATCCTGGTGGGTTTGTTTTATTGGAACCTGAACCAATTTCTTTATCTACAATAAATTGACCTTCCATTTTATACGTAATGAATGTATTGTAAAGGTCCAACATATTTTCACCAGGAGGTGAGAGATTGAATGTTACCCATGTGTTATCTTTAGCAGTTCCAGGTTGTGATGGAATTTTTGCGTCAGAATATTTTCTATTAGTGTCACCAATTTGAACTGCATTGTCTATGATATCGAAATATGAGCGAATCTGATGAATATGCTCTGCTGGAGTAAATTCGTTTAACTGTTCGTTCTGCATGTATTTACTTCGGATAAAAATATCTATTTACTTCATTATTCTCACTCTTCTTCTTGGCATTCGTGGTGGAAGTTGTTTCTTGACATTTTCAATGAACTGTACATTCTCTTTTGTCTCAACTTCTTTCACTGGCGGGTCAGGATTCTTTGACTCGGTTTGTTTTTCAATGAAATTCACGAACTTTGCAATAAGCTCTTGGTTCGTTATTGAAAGTACATCTGGCTTCTTTTCTTCTGGTTCTATTGACTTTTCAGTTTGAACAGAAGGTTTTATATGGGCTTCGTGGACTTCACCCTTGCCATGCACCTTAATGTTGTCGCTTTCTGCATTCGCTAATGGAACCTTTCTTTTTCTTACGTATATTTTACCATCTTTACTCTGACTTACGTAATAGAAAGGATGTTGTATTCCTCTTGCGTCATTTAATATAATAGACTCTCGCTCTGATTTTGACAAGCTCATTTTACATCGGTTAAAGTTTTAATTTTGTTTTTTATCTGCAGTCAAATGACTCAGACAAGCCCTACGGACAAGACCCAAGGGGTCATAGATGTTGAAGCATTGAAGAAAGAAATTCGTGAGCAAATTTTATCCGAACTGAAGGAACAAAAACAAGAACAAAAGCCAGAGAGACCAAAGAGAAAACTTAGTGAAAAACAACTTGCTGCATTAGCTGCTGGAAGACAAAAGAACCCACGTTTGCTGGCGAAGAAAGCTAGAGAAGAAGCTGAAGCAAAAGCTAAAGAAGCTGAAGCAAAAGCTAAAGAAGCTGAAGCAAAGAAAGAGTAAATGGTTTATTTTTATCCGAATTAAATGTATAGACAAATACCTTTATCTGTTGCGTTCAGTAGTGAAAACCCTGACGTCAAAATAAAGGGGAACAGAGTAACGTTTAAGTTTCCAACAGACTGGATTGTGAACATAAATGAAGAGAAGTACATTGGCATAACATCTATGTATATAACACGTGCTTTCAGAAAGGTTGACTTTATACTTCAAGTCGAGATAGAAAATGACGAACAGTCTTTAAGCGCCCAAAACATTCACATATACAAATACTTTAAAGACGATACAACATTGTTGCAATGTATGATTTCATTTAATGAGATGTTCGAGAAAAAGTTCAACATTGAAGTACAAACTTTACAGCCTTTACGTGAGTTTCTTGCACAACTGAAAGAAGAAGGTAGTCAGCCACAACTTATAGACTTTCATTATGAATTTAATGAAAATGAAGATGGAACTCATGACTGTCAGTTTGTTATATATTCACCATTCAATGAAGTAGCTAAAGAGAAAGAAAATCCATTACGTATAAGGTTTCAAATCTCTGAACCCAATGAAGACTTCAAGAATGTTTTCAATTATGATGCAATGCTTCCGAGGAAAAATGAATTTTCAAAGATTGTAACACCTGGCATTTGGGATAGAAAGCAAGCTATATTATATTCAAACTTAAGTAAGGGAGTTGAAAATGAGTTCATTGGTCATACAAGAACTTCACCACTTCCTAACCCTAAATACTATAAATTAACTGGCTTCAATCGTGAGTTTTGGATAGACATGTTCTCCACTCATGACCATAACTGCCCAGTGTTCTTACCTCCAGACCATAAGGACTGTCTCTACATCGAAGCACAACTCTTAAACTCTACAATTGCTGTATTGTAAAATCTACGCTAGTTTTATTTTTATCACGAATGACCTCATTTCTGACAAAAATAAATGACCTCATTCATGACCTCATTCATGACCTCATTGCTGACAAAAATAAATGACCTCAGAACTTCAACTTACG